ATTCGTTATCTAATATGATTAACAACCAATAATGTTTTTCTTACTTCCTTCTTCTCACTTTCTCTACTCCTCACTCTTCTTCACAAAATCAATTGGCTGATATGCATTCTTCTCCTCTCTTCTAATCCTATTACTAGCATTACCTCCCACCCACCACCAACACAACCACCGTTTCTTACCTTCCCTCCACCGCCCCTGTCGCAGCTCCCACCCACCACTAACACAACCAACACCACACTCTCTCTCCTTCCTGCCGCAGCCACACCAACCCACGACCCCTCAATATCACCAATCGCAACAACCTTCAAAGGCTCCAATTCCGCCACCAACAACCCAACATCGCAACAGCACTTCTTCCCTTCCTTCTCGCACTCACTCCCACTAATCGCAGGAAGTTCGTAATAGCAGGGTGGAGGTCGAAGGGTGGAGGTCGCAAATCGCAGATCATCATAATTGTTGTTTGTGTACCCAGATCCGACTCCATTGGTGGTGCGATTCAATCGCAAATCCGGTGGTGCTTGGTGGTGCGATTCAATCGCAAATCCAACGCCATTGGTGGTACGATTGGTGGTGCGATAGAACTTTTTAGGTGGAGTTTTTCAGGTTCTGCAAATTTAAGAGAAAAGAAAATGAAATAATGGAGAAAGGAGGAATGATAATGCAGCCGCAAGAACTATTGGATGCGGACGTCCGCACCCAATAGTTTGTGATTATATATATAGTTAAATAAAAAATAGGAAACATATAATAAAAAGATGAAAAATGTTGTACATAGCCCTTAAGCCTACATGAGCTAAAAGTGGGAGAAAAAAAAAACAAACAAAAATATAACATTAGTTATACTGATTTACACGTGATTTTGTCATACCATTCCTAGCTAAATTAATACCAAGTTTAGAAAAGATACTACATAAATGCTTATTCTTAATCCTGAAGGCCACCTAAAAGGAAAGCTCCATCCCTGGAAGCGTTGTAGGAAAATAAAAACCTGAACTTTGAATATTAAGTTATTGGGAGAGAAGTGATAGACCAAATCTTGCAATATCTTGAAACTATCCGTTGGATAAGGCAAACATTTGTTGATTGTCCCTTATAACCAATTTCAATTGAAGGGTATATTGTTGTTTGCTTTAAGGTATCTAAACTAATTAACCATCAGTTGAATTTTTATCATGATCACCTTTTGAACTTTGATAGTTGCAATAGATGTTAGTGCATAACACTCCGGCTAAAGCAACATCACAATTTGATGTAATGACACACATTAGCAAATCTATAAATGTTTTCAAGTTGGTTCAATTAAATTAAGACTAATTTTTAATTACATAAATATGTTTACTACTCAAATTCATTAACAAATATTAAAATATATTTTTGTTGTGCATTTAAAATCTTACAATTGAAGAATAATACTATAAATTTATTTCATAACTCATAAATTATCGATTACAAATCCAAAAATTCATTGATACATTTCTATATATATTTTTACATATATTGCACTTATATTGCACATATGTTGAACAAATGTATACATTTATTGACCCTTATAAGTTTGCGTACGTGAAATTTGTGTATCAAACTCACATATTGTTTCCCCAAATTATTTAATCGAACTTTAATCTTTAAATTGTATACGTATAAATTTATATGATGGCAAACCAACTCTAAATTATATGGCTCCGTTTGCATTGTGTTACGTCCTGCCATATAAAATTGATATAACCCTTTAAGTGGCTCAAATTGTCATTACCGTGAGTGATAATGAGCTTGTTTGGTCTAAGGTTGGTGCCAATACTTATTGTTTAAACTTTATCGAGTCGGATTTGAACATTCTCGGCAGCCAATATATGGCAGGCTACATGGAAACCAAGAATAGTACGCGGTTGGACTGAAGATAGGAGAGGTGCACTTTTAGAGCTTATCATGGTTTTTGATACGGGCTTGGATTTTGTATGGGTGCAATCGGCAAATTGTACGGTTTGCATGGATGAAGGCTCGAGGCCTCCATATAATGGCTCAAGTACATTATTCTACCATGCATGCGACCTTATTGATCCCAATTGTGGTCTTGAGGCATCCGAGGTGACATGTGGTGATGATAGCCGTTGCAATTATCACATTTTATAGGGTGATAATACGGAATCAATAAGGATAGTTGTTTCGGATATCATGTTTCATTACGTTGGCAAAGGAAACAACACTATACCATTCGACTTGACGTTTGGTACAGGGACAAACAATACTTGTTTGCCTTCTTCAACAAACTGCCTTCAAGGTGTTGCCGGATTTGGTGCGGGTGCCCTATCACTTCCCTCCCAACTATTTGTCCACCAATGGGGTTTTTTCCTCCCTACCGACATATCCATGGATGATGTTTTTCTTTTCAGTGATACCATCACCATTCCCAGGGAGTATAGGGTCGCTTTGATAATATATGATGATGGATGTGTCTACTACACCGAACTCACCAATGTATTTGTGGGAGCATATGATACATTGTCTAATAAAACCAATGCTATATTTGTTGATTTGGGGACGATGATCACGCATTTTGAAGTTGAAATCATGAACAAAATAGTTTATACGGCTAAATACGCTATAGTTGATTTATACAATGGTGAACCAATTATAATACCTTCGGATCCGTTTGAGTTGTGTTACGACCAGTCGTATAATATTGAGATCACGATTCAAATGAGCCAAATTTTCATCACCATGAATGATACCGATCTTGTTTGGTACAAGATTAGAGACGACAAATATTGCTTAAATTTTATTGCGGTCGGATGATGGTGAGAACATTCTCGGCAGCAAGCATATAGCGGGCTACATGGTAGTCTACAATTTTGTTGATCCCAAGTATAGGCATATGGATATATCGAAAGAACCACTTTGGCCCCATTTGGTTTGATGTAAAACATTTTCAATGAAAATTTAGTTTTCATGAAAACATATTTTCAAGGAAAAGCTCAATTGCAAATTAGTTTTTTTTTGTTTGGTTGCATACAAGAAAAGTTCAAGAAATATCAAAAAAAATATGAGTGGGAATGTGAGGGAAGTAAAAAGGAGGTAAGGAGCATGGAGTAAAATGTGGCTTCCCTTGTTTTGTAAAGGAAATGTTTTCCATCATTAAGAATGCAATTTTCTACCATGGGAAAACTATTTTCCACACTTTCACAAACCAAACAAAGGAAAATGGGAAAATCATTTTACATGAAAACATTTTACATCAAACCAAACAGGGCCTTAGTGAAAAGGATGCGGATGTTTGCCTCCGGCATGAACTTATTGCTTCAAATTAGTTATTAGTGGGTTGTTAAATTAGTTTTCTTATTCTAAGTGTTTATTTTATTGGTCAAGTTTGTTTTCTTAATTGAATTATTTAGCATTTTAGAATGTGTTAGTCGGTTAAAGAAAAATGGGTCTAAGTTGTGGGACCTAAGCCACTAAGTCCTTTTCTTTAAGAATTATGGGTGTATTTTCTGTTTTGATGTAGCATATTTAATGGCCACTTATCTATGCATATTAAATTGAACTAGATATTCTCATTGAATGTTCACACAATTGACACAATATTCTCACAATATACATCTTTGATTCCCCAATGATTCACCTGATTTTCACGCTTTATTAGAGGCAAAGCTACAAGCCTACAAATACTAACAATAAAATTGACAAGGTGTAACATTGTAAACTTGGAATCTAAAACCATTTTTTAAATAATAAAGATAAATAAATAATATTGCACTCTACCCTCCTACATAATGCCTCGTGATCATCACGGAGATAACCAAGACACCATCCCAAAGATTGATATGAACGTTATCGAAATTAGCAACTATGTTAGGTATAAAAAAACGCCTCCAAAATCAACCGTATCTCTTTTTATCGACAAGGGTGGATACGAGAAGTTTGTCGACCGGCTTTCGACGTAGTCCACTAACCACTATAGTACGGCTCGTGTTATCGACTTTATCAATTTCTCCCCTACTCATTCCAGGGACATCCATCCTGCTCGTACGGTTCGCCTCCACTCCGTCTTGACCATCTCAAAATCCCCGTCCTTTTCATCACCGTCACCATTGCCACCGCCATTACCATCACCACTCTTGTGTTTGCCATTTACGGAAATAAAACAAACAATTGATCAATCGATAATAATAATGATAATATGTCTTTGTTTTTATGTATATTAAATTGAGTGACCAAAGCGTCAACAATTTTATAATAAATTAATGCTTGGAGTACAAGTAGAAAAACTCCCATGAATCACGTACCTAAGGAAACAAATCACCACTTTCCTTTTTGTTGTTTTTTTTAACATTGTTATACATTCATACGTAGTATATATTAAAAATCGCAACGTTTCTTATTTTATGAAACTCCCATAAATCAGCGGTTAAAGAAACAAATCACAACTTTCCTTTTTTTTCAGTTATATAGAACTAAATAAATGAATTGTACAAGTTATTATGATTGAAGACACATAATATAATATGAAAACGGAGTAGATTTATATGTTATAATGTACGAAAAAAATAAAATAAAGAAATTCATTATTATTCACAAAGATCGTTCTCTTAAAATAGTGCAATGTGACCAACCTTCTCCGAGACCTGCTGGATCAGACTTTGTGTTCAATTCAATTCACTAGGCGAAAATTCGAATTCCCCACCAGTTCAAACCCCCCATTTCGCACCGGTTTTGAACGGGGCCGGATTTGGGGTGCTAAAACGCCATATATTTCGCACCGGTTCAAAACCGGTGGGAAAAATGACTTTTAGCACCGGTTCTTGTGGAAAACCGGTGCCAAAAACGGAACTTTTGGCACCGGTTTTTACTTATAGCCGGTGCTAAAAGTCCCAAAAAATATTTTTTTAAAACTTTTAGCACCGGTTCTTTGCAAAACCGGTGCCAAAAGTGCCCCAAAAAAATAAAAATAATTTTTGTTTTTTGCATTTTTTTCACTTAAATTGATGTAGAAAAACTAACATATATATAAAGTTACATATTTTGACTAAAAAAGGCTATAATATTACAATTTTTGTCTAAAAAATAAAATATAATATAGACAATGAAAATTCCTATTCTTTCTTTCAAGTGATGGAACTGACCAGCAGAAGTTCAACCAGTTAGGATTTTTTCCAGCGAAACAAAAAGGTGTGACAGCAAAGACTTACTATAGTAAGTAACTAGTATGAGCAGCAGCCTATCTTCTTCCAAGCTGAGGTCTCATTTCTATATTTATACAATTATACTCTCTCGTTGGGATGGAACAGCCGATGCAGAAGCATCACCAGCATCAACAGCCTTCTTGCTGACGATACAATGGATCTAACCTCAGTGAAAGCCAGCTCCACATTGGTTGCTTCAAGAGCAGAAGTCTCCATGAAGACGAGACCTTCCTGCTCTACAAAAGCCTTCCCTTCATCAGTAGTAACAACATTCTGATCAGTGTGCTCCCGTAGCTCTCTCAACCACCTTGCAGCATTCTCAAATGTAGCTTTCCAGGTGACATCATACGCAAGCAAAGCACCCACAGTTCTTCGATAGCAGGCATTGGTTATGGCACTCCAATTTAGTTAATTGCTGTCATTCACAAATTGGATAAAAGATAATATTAATAAACTCATAGCAAAGTATGCATACCATTTCTCACAGAAATTAAAAGAAAAGAATCGAGTTGTGAGTTCTAGAAAATGGAAGGGAAATAAATCTATATATTAAAAGAATAGTTGAGTGAGATAAATGAAATGTTGAGCAGATCTGATTGCTTCAATGTATGATGTTTGGATGCTCTTGTCTATCACCAAATTCTTGGCACAAACCAGGTTCTGCAATGAAAACAGGTTCTACTAGTGTAAGAAGCCTGAGATGATGAAAGAACCTAATTTCACTGTATTTTAAGTAAACTGAGGATCATAGTTCAACAAGAAGAATTCAAGATGTCAACACAACGCGCTTCACCTTTGCATCTGCTGCTGCTGTAATCACATTCTTTGTTCCGATCACTGCAGGCTCCAGAGCTGCATGATAGCAAAGAGAATCAGCAGCAGCAGCATGATAGCAAAGAGAATCACATATTAAGAATGAAAGACTATAAATACAAATGTAGTCAATTAGGTGTCCACCCTAAAGATTGGTTTACATGTTTTCAGGAGAGTATGGTTAGTTTAAGGCTTAACATAGCAACTGTGGAATACTGGTAGCTGGACAACTTGGAGATTCTAGTAGACCACTGTTTTTTTTTTTCCGTTTTTTTTTTTTGGAACCAAAGCGCCAAGAGGGAACTCAATTATCATTACTCGACTGAAAATCAGAGATAGCCAAATTACAAACACACTGAGGAAAATCAGACATCCAAACTCTCTTATCAAGACCCCAAGGAGACACATGAGCAAGCTCATGAGCCTCCTTATTACCAAAACAGAAAAAATGAATAAGCAAATACATAACGAGGATTAGTCTGCAAAAATCCGACAGGCCAAAACGAAGAGCTACAGGAGGGTACACTTACAGCAGCTTCTATGTATGTAGGAGTAAATTTGACACCTTCCATGAAAATAATCGCAGGGGCTAATAGTATAAAGGACATAACTGTTATTATGGAGAAGAGTGTAATATTGTTCATTAATTCCTGTCAAAGAAAAAAAATGAAATTAACTCAAACTCTCAAACATCAATCAAACAAATGATTAAGAATATCAATGTATTGTATGTACTGTGCAAAATAAAGAAAACTACTCTTACACCAAGAAACAGGAAAAGGTAAGACATTCCCCATTATGAAGCTTTCTCAATATGTAAGAAAAACCAATCCAAAAAAAAAGAAAAAGGAATTACCTCTTTCTTTAGCATGACCTTCTTGCTAAGGACATTACGGGATTGGTTTGTCACATTAGAAGCCATAGCACTCCAAAAACCAGCCCTTCATGAAAACAAAAACACAATAAGCAAATGGTTCAGATAATACTCATGCTGAAAACCCAGCGGGATCCTTGGAAATAGGAAGCATAAAATCTTGTCATAAAGTTAATTCGCTGACCAGTTTAAAGAGGCTTCAGTCACACATGCAAGAGCCACCCCTCCAACAATGGGAAGAAGTGAAAGCACAACCCAAGGAGTGGGATTCCGCATTGAAGGATATGAAAATTAACCCACACATAAATTGAATCACAAGCGAAAACATAATAAATACTTCAACCACTGGCTAAACAATGTCTAATCCTACTCATCAGAGAATCTTTCACATTTCAACAATTCTATGTATGTAAAAATAAACACATGAAAATTATGTGAAATATACCTCTCCCAAATATGCAGCAGACAGTAAAACAGAGAAAAATGGCTCCATAGCTTTGATAGTGTGAGTAAATGATCATAATAAGGATAAGCACACATACCAGGCAGCTGAAACTAATCAACTCACAAAAAAGAAATAGTTAACAAATGAATTTTCCTATTGCCATACTAGATGTAGAGAAAGCACAGTAGAAACGAATCATTGTAATCTCCAGCAAGCATGCAACACGGATGTGATATCTATCCAACAAAATAACAACTCAACATTACCCCGTAATAAATAAATGACCTAAAGAAGACAATAACGGGTATAAAGTCGTAAGAAAAGGTTCCTTAGCCTGTCTCAGAAGTTTGAAGTGCAATTTTGTGGCCATGTGATCGCTGGTATAATGGACCAAGAGATTCCATGACTTGATTTTAACTAAATAACAATAAAATCTTAGGAGAAGCACTACCTGGATAGCACTTACATATCTGCAGAGCACTACACCACCTTAGACGAAATGCTTCATAGAAGAAACAATTGACACAACACCAACTTGATGATCAATAATTCAACTGTCAAGAAATAGCCACATGACCAAATAAAAAGAAATATCCAGTAATAAGCAAACCTTTTAGCAAATAACCCACTTGATCACCGCAAGGCAATTTTTTCTTTGCAAGTCCAGGTGTACGGGTAGTTAGCCATATTAGTCACTAAAAAGCACCATTAACAATAATAATATTCGTAAAATTAATCACTAATCAGAAATTAATTAATACCAAGTCAAACAAACTACAATATCAGATTAGTTATGTAGAATCTATATGTTTACCCAAATTTTTTTTGGTTAAGATAGGTTTGTGGATAATTTTTGGTGATAACTGGTAATATTCACAAGCTTGAAAAAACTGCAAAAGTAGCTGCCCAAAACTCTGCCACATTTTTATGTAACAAAGGACAGTGCAGCAACAAACAAAGCGTTAAATCATAATAGCTCTAGAGATCAAACACCAATCCTGCAAGCCTTTCTAATAATCAAAAATCAAACCAAAAACCCTAAGTTTGAAGAATTTTATAATCAATGAGCCAATAGATCAAACCTCAATTAACCGAAACCTTTTTATTCAGCTAACTTGATCACCAAATATTCAACAGCTAACAAAAAACTGCATGCTCAAGAATCAAACCAAAAAATACCCTAATTCGAAAAATTTGAATAGCGCAAAACCTTTATATTCAGCTAACTTGATCACCGATTAGTCAACAGCCAATAAGCAACTGCATGCTCAACAAGAATCAAACCAAACAAAAAACCGAATTCGAAAAAATTGGTAATCAATCAACTCAAATGATCAAGCATACCAAATAGGCAAACCTATTCAATGATCAACAAAATCAACTAACAGCATTGTTCACCTTCCAATAACTGCACTCTACAAATATAAAACCAAATAACCCTAATTCAAAAAAATTGGTTACCCATCAGCACTCCTGATCAATCATCAATAAGCACAAACCTTTAAAGAATTTCGCCATCGAAATCAACAAATAATCTACTAGACGATTCAAACACTAAGCATAAACATACACAAAATATCTGCAAGAGCTAAAGAAACAAGAAACAGAATAAAGAAGTCAAAACCTTTAAGCAAATCATGACACCAAATTAGCACAAACCTTTTAAGAGTATTACAACAACTTATCACCAATAATTCAACTGTCAAGAAGAAACCACATCACCAAACAAATAGAACTCTCCAACAATAAGCATACCTTTAAGCAAATAACAGCAATGAATTAATCAAACCTCAATCGACGATAAACCCTAGAAAAAGAAGGCCATGCCGCCGTGACAAATAGGTTGTTGTGGTGGAGGTAGAGTCGTGCGCGCTTCAATGACAAACCCTAGATTACCACAACCCAAAAATTACTAAATTGAAAAGCAATCAACGACAAACCCTAGATTGCGAATGAATTCGAGGGATTAAGTAGACCACAATAAAAATCTTACCTCGAAGCTGCTACAATGGAGGTGAGAAAACCCTTGAATTCGCTTCAATAGATCGGGATGAGAAAGCTCTGAATGCGTTTCAATGTAGGAGGGCTATGGAGAGAAAAAAGAAATTGACCTTGGCGGCAATGGAGGTGAGAAAGCTCAGAGTGCGCTTCAATGAAGGATAGCCATAGTGATGCTAGGCGAGAACGAGAGAAGGAACGAAGCATTCAATGTGGAAAAGCAGGGGAAATGAATTGAAGGAAGAACAAGGTTTCGCGAAATAATTAAACTTATGCGGGTTTCTGGTTTAAATTGCGCACCGGTTCGAACCGGTCCTAAATAATCTTTTCCCACCGATTTATGCTGAATCGGTGCGAAATCTCTTCCTTCCCCCCCCCCCTTTTTTTTACAAAACAATTTGGCACCGGTTCAAACCGGTGGGAAAAATAACATTTGGCACCGGTTTATAAGGAACCGGTGCAAAAAGTAATTTTCCAAATCCCGCCCATTTCTATTCCCACCGGTTTTCAAGAACCGGTGCGCAAACGGGGGTGCAATTTTCATTTTTTCTACTAGTGATTGGACTGTGGTTCGAAGGTTGGTAGATGATGATGAAGCATTGATGATGATTTCAATAAAGTAGTGCAATGTGAATATATGATTCATTATAAAAGTTGTTGATTATTAACTTTATAAAGTGATTAATTTATACGATTAATACATTCCAATATTCATCTAGTCTTTGGTGATTTATTGCATATATTGGCAAATATGTATATATATATATGTATATATATATGTATATGTATATACATATGTATATATATATATACATATGTATATACATATACATATGTATATACATATACATATGTATATACATATACATATATATACATATATATATATATATATACATATATATATATACATATATATATATATGTTTGAGTCCAATTTACTCCAATTAGGCCGGTCCACAAATGATTCAATTACAAAATCCAAAAAAAGTTTCAACTCTCCTAATACAGGTAAAGTGAGTCAAAGGCCCGGTCAACATGGCAAGCCAATTCGACCTTAAGGCCCAATTTATCCATTTGAGTAAGGTATAAAAGCCTTGACACCTCTCTCTCTCTCTCATTTCATTCACTTCAAGCCTCAAGCATTAACTCTCTTGCAGGCTAGCAGTGGCCAGATGAACGTCCTGTCCATCAAAAGCCCAGACTTCCACCTGATCCCAGTCAATGTTAGGATCAGCGTGGAATGCTAGACGCCGAGCTACATTGAATCCATTCTTAAAACCCTCAACATACTAGGCTTGGGTATAAATCCGGACCTGCAGGAGCTTCTGAGCCAGCTCTTCGAGCTCAGTTTAAGTCTTGGCAGCCTCCTCCTTCTAGGCCTTCAGCAGATCCTGAGCCTCCTTGAGCTCATTCTAAAACCGGGAGGATTCCACCTATTTGGCGTTCAGCTCGTTCTGGAGTCACTGAACTTCATTTTGATGATTAGTTTGCCTCCTCAGCAACTCTTCCTCAGCAGCAACAGATCTCTACCTAAAATCCTTAGCCATCATCCGCTAAGTTTCCTCCTGCCGCCGCTGCATACCCTGAATCCGAGACTCGAGACTAGGGATGTTCTCATCCCCATACTCTTCGATCAGCAATTTGGATCTTTCCCCCAAGACGGGGAAAATATGATCCTCCAGATTCTTGAAGACAGTCTCTGAGGCATCCTTGGCTGGGGCAGCCTCTTCTTCAGCAGCTGTGGCACGGAGCTTGGTAAGATTAGCTCGGCATTCGGCCTCGTCCAACTTGAACTTCAACTACTTGTTCATTTCCACTGCCAGAGTGTGGTTCTGAATGACTTGAAAAAGTTAAAAGCCAATCAGCCGAAGTGAAAGAGTTATAAAAAATAAAAATTAAAAACTTCTGGTTCTCAGCAAAAGGATCAGGCACCCTCACACTGGGCTCGGCTATCCCAGCAGTGGCCCTGATTGACCAAGTGTTGGACTTCTCCAGTTAAGATTAGCCGGACTGGTCACCGAAGAAGGTGATAGCAGAATCGCGGTACGACTAAAGAGCATTTCTGAGAACCTCAGGAACATGGAGAAGAGGAGCTTATCCGAACCCCATGTCGGCAGGAATTGTATGCAGAGGTTGAAGGCATATTGGTTCCCTTCACAGCCCCAACTCCGACATCCTCCCTCGAGCCCACACCCTCTTCGAAGCCCTTCGGCTTCTCACCCAAAATCTCCACCTCTTCCTCGGGTTGAGCAAGAGAAGAGCATCAACCTCACGCTGATTGTCGTCGGTAAAAAGTCCTTCCCGAGGCGGCTACGAGGGCAAGGTCTTCTCTCCAGACTCAAAATCTTGGAGGATGAGTTTTCTGCTGAACCTCTACCTCGGCAGGGGCCTCAAGAGGAGGAGGGGTCTTTTCCTTAGCCTCCTCCAGCTTCTCTATTTTGTCTTCCTCCTCTAGCCGAGGCTTTTTAGCAGGAATTGGGGAAGCTTAAAATTGCCCAGGTCCAATGACAGCCCTTCTCTTCGGCCTGACCATTTCTTCGTCCGAGGATACTTCCTAAACGGGATCAACAGGTTCGTCCTTCTTCGTCAGACTACAGAAGAAGGGATAAGGGGGGCAAAGATCCATGGTACCCTAAAAAAAAAAAACTAAACACAACAAAAACAACAGACGAGTCAAGTTTGGAAGCTCATCGAAGTCTTGAGTAGACATTCGTCTTCTTCTTCTTCCTCTTCAACTCGTGGAGCAACTGTCTCAGTTTGCTCGGCAGCAAGAGCAGAGGTCCAAGCAGTAGTGGAAATTCTAGCTGCAGAAGAAGCGCGAGCCGTAGTGGCTTGCTCTTCGGCCAAAATAAGGAAATAGGGGTGGCTCTTATTCCACCAAGATTTCTATTGTTGATACTCAGCCGCGCTAACTACCTCGAACCTTTTTTCGTGCAAGCTGGGAGGCCGATCCTTCGAGTCTGTGATCTTCGGGGTGTTGGTGATCGGATTCCTTTCCTGATCGATTCCGAGCACTTCGTAATTGAGGCCGAAATTCTCTTTCGTACAACATTAAAAAGACAAGAAAAACAGTTAGCTTCGCCAAAGAAGATGGGCATCAAAAAGCAAAGGAAACAAAAAAGAAAAACGATAAAGTCCTCGGCCCCAGCCGAGCTCCTTATCGCCTTAGTACTATCGGCTAAGGCCGACAACAGCGAGCATCTTCTCTTGGAAGATGTAGTGGTAGCAGGGTAGCCAGGTAGTGGGCACGTCCTTCATTTGGCCTGTGGCCCCACGCACTGTGGTCTGGCCGAAAATGCCATCTGCTTCAAATCTGATTCGGAAAACTCATCAGGGCCGATGCTAGGCACACTGGGGTCAGACTTTCTCAAATACCTCGACGCACAAAAGTAGTTTGGATGGTCTTCGTCTTGGGCACCCTTACCCAGATATATTGACCCCTCTAGTCTTTATCCGAGGTATCGTTTGGCAAGACCAAAAGGTAGCCCTTCTCATCTTCAATCTGCCACCAACAAAGGCCGTGAAATCTGATGGCCTGGGTGTTCGAGACCAGTTTGTGCATGCAACGAAAACAATGAACGCTCGGCGTGAATCCGTAAAACAGGCACACCCAGAGATAAGTCATCTCCCTTCAAATGCTCACGGGAGTAAGTTGACACAGTAAGATGTTATACCAGTTCAGCACTGAGGTTATGAAGGAGTGAAGTGGGAACTGAAGCCCATACTGCAGCTGGCAAGTATAAACCCCAATGTAGCCAGGTGGAGGACAGTGAATCCTATCATCGCCAAAGGGCATTTGGCACCAATACCCATCTTCCTCCATAATTCCGTAGCAAACCTCAAGTTGCTCGGAAAAGTAGAATTCGGCTTTGTTTTCAATCCACCATTTATAAGGTGGAGACGACATGAGGCCAGCATTTTCATTTTCATCCAGCCACTCCCTTTTCTCGGGAGTCAAAGGCCTAGATGTTGAACTCGCGCTTCGGTTAAAGGTGCTAGCTTGTCCCAAAGCGCGGGGCAGCAAAGTAGTTAAAGGGACGACCCCAATTGCGGAGTCGCTAGAAGCGGCGGCAACACCAGCCCTAGCCCTAGGAATCTGGTCGCTGAGGGGTGGCATCATCGCCAAGGGACGGTTCCGCCGCAAAGTTAACTACAGAACCTTTTCCTCCTCTTCATTACTCGGCTCAGCCTCCACCTTTCTCTATCCACGGTCACCGGCCATTTTTTACGGTAGTGGTGCGATAAAACGGAAAAAAGGGGGGTACTAAAAAAAATCAAGAAAACCGAAGAAAATTCTGGGAAAATTACCTTGATCAGACGCGGAATTTGTCGATTTGTAAGTTTGGAGCAACAAATTTCAGTTTTGAGCTTTGGATTGCTAAACGAGTGAGAAAAGAAAAAAAGGTTTAGCAGTGGTGATTAGCGAGAAGGAATTCGAAATTAGCAAAAGGAAATGAGGAAAGAATGTGGGACGAGTGGCTTAAATACCTTCCAGAAATGGGAATCTTGGGAGTCGCGCCACTAACACCCCCACTAACTCCACTTCAACGCTCCACCTCTCCGTCTTCTTCTCTGATTAACCGCCCACTAAACCATCCAAATTCTCAATTAAACTCCAAATTGTTGTTATTGCCCCAATAACCGCAATAAATTAAGTGCTAATTAATCATTTGCTTCCCTCCATTTTGCAAGTCAAAACCCAACTCGTCAAACTTTCTAATCGGGTCTGGGGGCAAGTTGTTTGGGTCCAATTGACTCCAATTGGGTCGGTCCACAAATGATTCAATTACAAAACCCAAAAGAAGGTTTAACTCTGTTAATACAGGCAAAGTCAGTCAAAGGCCCGATCAACATGGCAAGCCCATTCGACCCCAAGGCCCAATTTATCCATTTGAGTAAGGTATAAAAGTCTTGACCTCTCTCTCTCTCATTTCAATCACTTCAAACCTCAAGCATTAACTCTCTTGCATAGCTTTCTCTCTCTAAACACTGTACTGACTTCGGCATCGGAGGGGTCTTCCTCGAGGCTAGTTTACGTGTGTTTGCTGTGCAGGAAACCCTCGTCTCAGTCATCACTTAGGCCGAGTCCAGTCTTGAGCCCACAAGTAATATCCAGACGAAGGATCTATTGTTTTCACCGTGTTATATATATATATATATATATATATATATATATATATATATATATATATATATATATATATATATATATATATATATATATATATATATATATATATCCCTCTTCTACATAATAAAAATAAATAAAAAGTAAAGAGAGTAAGGAAAAGACAATCATTAATTTTGTTAGGCTATCATACAAAATTAGAATAACAAAGAAAGATAGACAAATCCAAAATTATGCTGGATCAAACATGTATTATGAAACGAAGAGAGTAATTATTATGATCATCAAATCGCAACTTAATTCGATCGACCTTGTGTCAAACAAACTCCATATATGATCAAAGGCCAATTCATTTCACTGGACTTTGCTCTTATTAGTACCATCAAATTCACAGATTTTTCTCCAAGATATGATTATTACGAGTGATGGTATTATTACCCAAGGTAAGTTCGCCAGAATAAAGTATGCATAGAAGTAATATGGACTTGCTGAAACTTGATTCCCTTCTATGAACACGGTCATGTAGTATATAACAACACTATACAACTCCATCGAACTTACAACCAATTGTATAGCATATCTATAGGATTTGTGTGTTGTTACGGCATACCTGCAAATTAAACGTCGTACAATATGAGAAATCTAGCTAGTCATGCTATATTAACATCTTATATATGTACTCATAGCCAATTAGGTGTTAACAATTGACCCAACCGACTAAAAAAACACTGGATTTAGATTTCAACTTGTAAATACATCATAATTTATTAACATGATTCAAATTTGAAACAAATTCTACCTGAAATCACCAAAATCGACCTAGGTTTCTGGTCAAATAAACACCTCTAACTACCATACGACTATACCATTAACAATTATTCAGTAGCAAAGCTCAGTCTAGTTGGTTCTTTGCATTATTCGAATCAATTTCATCGCGACTAGGAATCTATCAAAGTTAAAATTACTAAGAATGCATGTGTTCATATTTCCCTATCCTTTCCTAAATAGTTAAAAGAAAGAGAAGTTTGACTTGAGATTTGATGACAGTACATACAAGTTTTAGATTAATATATATACAATCATGAATCATGGACAAGTAATTTAATAATTAAAAGCAAGATTATATACAGTAATATAGTTACAAAATAAATGCATGTAATTTATTGGTCGCTGTCACACACTAAGTTCAGGGCCGCCTTAAACTTATCAGGGACCCTGAGCTAATGGAGTTGTATAACCTCGCCAGTCACCAGTCTCACCACCTCGGTTTTAACCGGGAGAAATTTTGAAGTCGAGCTAATCCTTAGCTTCCTACAAAAAAATACGAGTAGATTTTAACCATGCTCCTGCCTCATATATGTGGGAATTCTCCGTATGCAAGCAAAGGAAAAGATGTACTCCGTATGACAGTAACTACAGAAGGATTACTTGATACACAAAATTAACTGTCAACTCTCCATGAGGCAAGAAAGTAATAGAAGAAATCGGAAACTTGCTGTAATGCACAGAAACAGATCATGTCGCATTTTCTTAAGATTAAAAATCAGTTTAGGGCCAAGGAGAACACATTATCAATGCAGATCAAACTCCGTTAAAACAACAATGCTTTGCAGAACATCCGAACATAGTCTAAACCTAGTCCGCCTATCTATAACATTCTCTGCTCTCTACTAAGTCCAAACCTTCTCATCAACAAACAGATAATGTAATATTACCATCAACTTCATTTGAATTTTCTCCTGATTATACCATCAGATTAACACTTTCTCCAACAACTGTTGAATACGAGGAACATATCAAACACCAAGGTGAATTCACTCCAATGCAGTATGCGTAGTCTCTGTAGTAAAATGGGCACGAGGAGTAATTGCCCCCTTCCCAAATTGCTATTCAAGTATTATCACAATACTATAGATTTGCCTAAAAGATATGACCAACTGAAAAATTACGAATGTAAGATGAAACTAGCACAAGCAGAATTACACTGAATTTACAAGTACTGTATAATAAAAGAATTCAAGTAACATAATGATAATATCACAGCAGGAAAAAGGAGTTGCTTTAAATTCAACAATTAAAGATCCATAATACTAGTAAATGATTACAAAAATATCATTTCTTGCGAAATTGTAGTTCAAAATTGAGTAGATGAAGAATTGGAAGCTTGTAGATGTGCGAAAAAAAAAAAAAAAAAGGATCATGTAACATTAGCTTAACTACTGCTTAAGTTTCATTTGGTTTTTATCTTACTTCTACCCTCAGATTCACAAATTTTTCTCCAACATCTGATGATTATGAGGAACGGTATGATTCCCCATGGCGCATTTGCTCCAATGTAATATGCGTAGTAGTGCAATGGACTCACAGAGAAATGGTCCCCTTCCAATATTGCGGTTATGTAATATATCACAAGACCATAGAATTGCCCGAGAGATACAGCCAGCTGAAGAACATACCTATAGGATTTGCGGGTTGCTATAGCATACCTGCATGCATTATACGAGAGACCTAATCATGTTAATAATCATATGTTAAAACTCAGTTAAATTATCAGCACGATAAAAGATGAAGAGCATGCTAATTACTTACGCTGCTAAAAGGCAAGCAGGGCCTTCTATAACGGCTGTTACTCCTTCAACAGCAACAATTGCAGAGTCGAAAGAGGCATACCTTGAATCACCTCTGCTGTATTCTTTCCCTGTGAAAGCCATATTATCAGACAAATTGCAAAACAACCTTCACATGTCAACGGGAAAAAAATGTCTATCTATACAATTAAGAAACAGGAGCCTTACAAATTTCGGCCAAGAAAAATCCATTCTTGTCCTTGTAGAAATCTGGTGAGAAAGCGAAGTATCCCTCAACAACCATATGTATTAGACCAGTGATAGTAAACCAGCATATGAGCAATCTTTCAAGTTTTGTTGTCTTCGAAAACAAACCTGTGTGACAGAGAACTTGGTGTGTAAGGATGGAGAATAGATAAAATACTTTAAAGTGAATCACACCTACATATTTCCTATGATCAATCCTAACCAACTTGCACGAATTCACGACCTCTAATGTCAAATAACAGTAGACCATTAAGGTGAATCCCCACTTAGGATGAATTACAACTAAATATTTCCTATGATCCTTCCTAGCCAACTTGATGAAGAAATTTTCATGTCGTCCAGACTTGACAAACGACTACAAAGTTCAGATATATGGTTAGTCCTACTCAACTTAAATTGACTCATTTCATTCAATTCAACCACAAACCAGTTGAAAAAAAACGCTACTCATTATTGGAGTTGGCAATCTTTGCAAGACACAAGAACACCAACAAATTCGACATGAACCCACAACACAAACACGAATAAACCAGAATTGGACATGGCATAACAAACTAAGCAACTTTCTGATGTTATGACTTATGAGTACATGAGTTGGCATATATTGAAACCAAAATCAGCATATATAAACTCGAACACAACCGATAAACTCCCAACTCTCCTATGATCTCACGCTTGAGATCCTAACAAAAACATTCAAGATAACACCATCACCAAGAATCATTAAATCAACAACTACAACAAGGTCATTAGTTTGTTCTCGGTCAAACAAAACACGGATTTATCGTGGTTCACTAACAATACGTTAGCTAGTCAGCATTCTAAGCAGCAGATTCAACGTATACAACACAATTATCTATAAAAACATCACAGACTACCAATGCAGAGCAAAAGTCAACGTATATGGATCAAATTTCAATTTTTTTTTTTATAAAAAATGATAAATATTATAAATAAAAACAAGCAAAATTCAAAATTAAAAGCAGATAATTAAGACTAAATTGAAAAATTTACCAGGAAGAATCCATGAGACGGAGAAAACAATAACAGTAGCAACAGCAAAAACACCCAAAATTTCAGAAGCAGAAAGAAAATTAGGGACAAATCCAGGCAAGTTCAGATCTTTTGGAGAATAAGGATGATGACCCTCCATTTTTAATCCAGATTTCTTCTAGATCTTCCTATAAACAGAAAAAAAACAATGAAGAATTTTAGAAAAATTAAAAGGAATAACCCAACTCATAAATTTATAATAAACGGTAAAAATATAATAAAATTTTTAAAATTGCATACAATAATTTGGAAAGATATAATGAAATTCAATAAATAATTTAGAGTTTAACCTTTGAGATGGTTAATGGAATAATGGAGGAATTGCAAGGATATTGAGTGCAGAAAAATGGAGGGGAAATGCCAAATTCAGAAAAATGGAAGAGTCAAAGGTTTTGCTTTTCCAATTCAATTATGTGGTGGGAATATCGGATAGTTAATTAGTTATCGCGTTGGTTATCGTTTTTTTTTTTTAGTTAATTTATCTTTATAATTTTTCGTCCCTATATACGGTTTTTATTTCCATTTTTTCATTTTCTTGGTAAAGTATTAAACTTTAACCATATATTTTCATTAATGTATACGGAATATGCAAAAGAATACAGAGTAATATAAGACGGAAGAACACTTATTATCAAATCGGTTTTAAAAGGAAAACGTATATCAAAATGTGTAAGTATTGATTTTGAAATTCATGACAAACTTATACGTCATAATGTTATGAATGCTTAGTTTATGTTTACATGTCATAAACTTGTTTACTTTTCAATCTTATTTCTTAAAATTAATTCTTCGGATTGCGTATACTATTTCCTTTTTTAACCTATTTATTGTAATTGCTTTGCTTTGATTATACTATTTCCTTGTATTAGATTAACTTTTTGTCAATTTTTTACATCAGAAATGATTTTAATATCAATAGGCAACGAATAAGCTGCATAAAGGCCGATAAAGAATAAAATTATCAAAAAAGCATAGATAACATTTATTAATAGGAAAAATTGACAGGTGTAATCCAACCTTTAAGAGATCTTCTCAAAATAGTCCAGCCTTTTGATTAACTCAATATAATCCAACCTTTAGTCACAGTCTGCTAAAAATGGTCCGATTAACTTGTTACCTGCTTTATAGGAAATAATTTTTAATTAAATTTTTTTTTTTTAGATAATTAAGATATTTTTATGGGTTTTTCTCCAAACTGCTATCATTCTTCCCCTTTCTTCCTTCATCCTCTAACCCACCCATCTTCCTTTTTCACAATTACCGTGAAAAATTCTTAATAATTGGTAATTTGATATCGACATTAACTAAGGAATTTCCAATTTTACTACAGCGAACACGTGGAGACTATGAGCCCCACTAACAAATTTCATCCAATAATCCATTCACAGGTGATAAAATTCATTTTTTTGAGTTTTTTGTGGTGTTAAAATAAAAGTTTTTGTTATGCAGTGTTAAAAAATATTTTCGAGCTTTTTCCTACTCTTTATCATTGGCGACTCGGGTAGTTTTATTTCATTCCCCACACACACACACACACATATATATATATATATATATATATATATATATATATATATATATATATATTCTAGTTTATTATTTTAATGTTAATTATATTTATTTAAAATGTTCATTCATTATAATACATGTATTTTTTTTAATATCTAAATGTAACAAAAAAAAAAAAAAGCAAAAAATACTTTCAAAGAACCAACAATCACAGCTTCACAAAATCACAAGATGCAAAGAATGATAACAAGGGGATTTAAAAATTGGCAAAAACTAACGAGCGCCCTTGAGGCGTTAGATATAAGAGAACTAAAAGTGAAATTATTAAAGTAAAATTAACATTAATTACATCGATCAGTGTGTAATTTTGTCATGCATTCCGAACTTAATACTATTTAAAGTAATATATTAAGTATTCCGTAACTATCTAATGCCTAGAGTGCTTGTTAACAAGATCCTTTAAAAATTAATACTCTATATTAAGGTTTTTCTTACAAAAGAAATCGTAGTATCAGGGTTAATTTAGTACTTTACAATATTTTTTCATTGCATCTAAATAAAATATGACACCGATTTTCAGCAGTTCATGAACCCCCCTTTCTAATTCTCTTCAGCTTTTTACATTTTACTCCGATTTCTCTAATTCTCTCTCCTGTTTTTCTCCCAATCATCTCTCTAATTATTCTGGCCACGCACATTCTTTTCTTCAGGTATGTTTCTCTTTCTCTCTCCTAATTTAGATCTCTAACTATGAAACTTGATGAATTATTAGGAAAAGACCCAAATATTATGATTTCATTCTTTGTGTTCAATTTGATGCCTGATTGTTTGATTAGTGTGAATTATTCCGATCTGTTATTCATGATTCTTCTAAACTAGTTTCTGGGTATTTTTGATTTTGTGCTTTTATAGTTATAGATCTGATTTCTATAGTCATACTGAAGAAAATTTGAAGAATTAGGGTTAAAGAATTGAATTTTAATGTTGGATTGTTGAATCCCACATCAGATCTTATCTGGGGTTTTTCTAAATGGGTGAATTTTGCTTGCGATTCATTGTTTATTTCATGTTTGATATGATTTTACCATTTTTATTAGGTTGGTTTCAGTGGTTGTTTACTGATTTAGGGTTGTTAGAGGAAATTTGATTGATTAATTTACTTGGATTGTAATGCACTTGTCATATAGTTGGTGGAAGTTTAGCTGAATTTGAGGACTGGGGAAAGAAATCGTATTGTGTTGAGGAAGGATAAGACTGAGGAACGAAAATGCCTGCACTGAAGATTGAAACCGGACATAATGATGTTGTTCATGATGTTCAAATGGATTATTATGGTAAACGGGTTGCCACTGCGTCGTCTGATACCTCGATTAAGATTATTGGTGTGAGCAGTAATTCCGCCACACAATCTCTTGCCACATTGACCGGCCACCAAGGGCCTGTTTGGCAGGTTGCATGGGCACACCCGAAATTTGGCTCAGTTCTTGCTTCATGCTCTTATGATGGTAGGGTTATTATCTGGAAGGAGGCCAATCCGAATGAGTGGGCACAAGCTCATGTGTTCCATGAGCATAAATCTTCAGTTAATTCCATCTCTTGGGCACCTCATGAACTAGGGCTTTGTTTGGCTTGTGGATCGTCGGATGGGACCATCTCTGTTCTTACCCTTCAGGCTGATGGTGGTTGGGACACAAACAGGATTGATCAGGCTCATCCGGTTGGGGTAACATCTGTTTCATGGGCTCCAGCAACAGCTCCAGGGGCTCTTGTTGGATCTGGATTGCTTGAACCCGTCCATAAATTGGTTTCCGGAGGTTGTGACAACACCGTGAAAGTTTGGAAGCTTTACAATGGGACATGGAAGATGGACTGCTTCCCTGCTCTTCAGATGCACTCAGATTGGGTCAGGGATGTGGCTTGGGCTCCTAATCTAGGGCTTCCAAAGTCGACCATTGCTAGCGCTTCACAGGATGGAACTGTGGTCATATGGACTGTAGGCAAAGAAGGAGAGCAATGGGAGGGCAGAGTATTGAAGGACTTCAAGACTCCAGTTTGGAGGGTATCTTGGTCTTTGACTGGGAACTTGTTGGCTGTTGCAGACGGGGACAACAATGTTACATTGTGGAAAGAGGCGGTTGATGGAGAGTGGCAGCAGGTTTCAACGGTGGAGCCATAGATTTTTGCAGATTCTCTTTGTAATTTCTACCTTACTCCAATTTCTTTTCTTATGGACTTAACTGAAATAGTTTTTTAGTCCGATTCTGCTGCAGTTTTGTTGTGTGGTGAATACTGTTTATTGTATGCTTTAGTATGATATTGTTTTACAACAATTTCACTCAAGGTAGAGAAAGACATACTTGGTGATCCTTTCTTTTTAGATTTTATACAGCATCCAAATTTGTTATTTGCCCATGATAATTCGTTGATTTCAATTTCTCATTGGTAATCTCTGTAAATCTGTGTTTGTGATATACTGTAACATAGATCTGAGAAATGCAGATAGGAGTTGAGTTTGCAAGTTGCGAATTGCTGATTTTAGTAAGCATAGTTCCCATAGTCTATGAAGGTCTTAGAAGTTGCTTTTTGTTCAGTAATGCTGCCTACGAATCCATGGAATTTGGAATGACCCTAAGAAAACTAGCGTGTCTGTATCTCTGATAGTCTGATATGGTATATGGTTGGTTAGTGACATGTGCATTCTGTTATCCTCTATCAACTTTGATCCTTGCCAGAGCCTGAAGACAGGGTCTCTGTTTTATTGCATGTGAGACATATTCTGGGTTGAATTGATGCATTGAGCTATCTGTTTCTGTTTTCCCCCTGTTTAAGTCACGATTTGATTATGTAGTCGCAATGATACTTTTCACTTCCTTAGCTGATCCGATTGATTTCCTTAGCTGAAGCATTATGATAGGTTTTTAGTGGTGGATGAACAGATTTGAGCAGCGTAGCCGTAGGAGTTCAGTTTCCATTCACTAAACATAATTAGTGGTTCTTCGCAAGTAACTCGATCAAACTTAGGCCTTGCAACACTAATACAAATCCAACATCGATTTATTGTATGTCCGTGTCACTGTGGTGTGTAATCTTTATCTTTTTGGTGGCTCGATTGATAACTAGTTTGAGAACGGTTGAGATACAATTATAATTACGATGAGATTATATCCAATCCGTAATTTTAAAAATATGGATATTTAAAAAATGAGCTAAGATATATGAACAATTTCTGTAAAATGATTTATTAACGTTGATTTGTAAGATAATACAAAACTTTTAGGTACATTCAGTCTACGTTAATGTTATTATACATCGGATTGATTTCTAAGGCATTAGGATTGATTTCTACAATGTAAAGATAGTAATTTTATATGTAAAATATAGGTCACTTTTATTTTGTATCAAGGTAATTGTTGATAATTTCAGTATGCATGTACGTTATGTAAGTGTGCAAGTCTTTTTTTCTTAAAAAAAAAAAAAGAAAAAGAAAAAGAAAGCACAAGTCTTATTATTATTATTATTATTATTATTATTATTATTATTTATTTATTTATTTTTTGGGTGAAGAAGTACCATCAAAATAGCTTTGATTTTATGGAATAACATAGCTATTTCAATCTACTAGCTATATCACTATATGCTTAATTGAGAACTAAACTATTGGGTTATAGCTTATTATTGCTTATAAGTCGACCATACCTCTAAGTCGTAGCCATGAATTGAGGTATGTATCTCTTAACTTTAATTTAATGCATCCAAAAGTAGTAGACAATTATTAAGTAAGAGAATAATATAGTTCCTAAGGGTAGGAAAATGTGATATGATCCTCAATTTTGGGTATCATTCACTTATAATATCAGCCAAAATTCATAATTTTCTTGAAACTTTTAAAATATCATAGGTCGTCAATCAGTATAAGTTTATGCCTAGTTTCGTAAAATTCAGATAGCTAACATTACTAAAAGAAGAACGGAAAAATAAAAAATAAAAAATACTTCAATGTGTAGCATTTCTTTAAACCGATCGAGTATAAGCTAGCCTTAGCTTACATCAAGTTCCGTATCGAAATTAAGATAGCCAATAGTCAAAAAGTTTAGGTTGTTCGATTCCCTCATTCTATATGAGATAATGAAAATTTACGTGTAATAAATATGTACCAGGAGAAATTTTTTATCTACACCTTTTTTCTTACATGTAATCTCATGTTTCTTAGAAACAAGAGTATAATAGTATATACACTAATAAATATGAACACTAAAAAACCCGAAGGAATACTTTTATAGTACGCCATGTCTCCATGCACATATTCTAATACTTCATATAATCTTTGATCATATGCCCCTAAGTCCCTAAACTTTGACTTTTCCATATTATAATCAACTAATTAAGTTGCGTAAGTGTAACAATTTAATACAAGCATATAATAATACTAGTATGTCCACTTGTATTTTGTATATGTTGAAATTTTAAATCTTTTTATTCACTCCATAATACGAAGTATATAAGACCACAACCTAGTGAAAGGATTGAAGCAGAGATATATAAATACTGCTACTTAAAAAAAAAAAATTAAATAAAAAAGAAGGAGAGAGAGAGAAGAGATTATGAAAGAGAGGTAAAATTAATTAGAAGCACCTAAAACACTAAAAACTTCTTCCATGGCTAACACACCCACAAAATTTTTGCTAATTCTTCCTTCTTTTCTTATTCTAACCTTGTTTTACTTGTTTTTCTTTCACCAAAACAAGTTTAATTTAAATATCAATCTTTTTTCTAATCTTTTTCCACCTTCTTCTAATAATAATCCTCCCATTAACATTATTAATAATCATACACACCATTCTCATAATAACATCTCAATTTTTTCCATGCTGGTTGTAAGTTCATTATATACTGATTATCTTGCTTTAATTTGTTTTTGCTCCTTATTTTTTCTATTGTCTTGGTAAATTTTTTCTTAATTAACTTTCTTTGTGCGTGTATAGAAGAAAGAGGTACAAGAGAAGAAAAATAACAACAACAATAACACCAACACCACCAACAACAACGACGACCATCGTAGTTTGGAGAAGATTGAGGATGGATTGGCTCGAGCTCGTGCCGCGATCCAGGAAGCATCCCGGAGTCAGAGTTATACATCAGAAGAAGAACAGACTTTCATTCCAAGAGGTCCCGTTTACCGGAATCCATATGCTTTCCATCAGTAAGCCTTTAAAAACTAATTACTCATTTCTTTTTCTTTTTTTTCCCCTTCAAACTTGAAGTAATATACTCATATAATTCACTTTAAATTAATTTATTCTGTTTGGAAGTTATGGAGTAATTTATTTTTACGTTGATAATATAACTTGTTCATGTTGATGATATGCCAAATTATTAAAGTCAAACAAATATACATAGTACATTAGTACTACTACTTACCTAGTACGAGTATAATTTTCTTAAATGTGTTGTTCGTTCATATGAATAGTCTACTATATCGATGAGGATTTGCGTGTAATAAGTCGACTAATAATTAAATTGTTACATCTAGTGAATAGGTTAGTTAATCAAACACAAGAATTTCAACAACTTTTAAGACGTGTTAGATATCTGTGTATGTATGTATTGTTGGAGTAAAGAGAGTAAAAGTCATGTTTCTTAGTTGGTTTGTGGCTTTTCTAGAGCTTGATCAGTTTACTCCACAAGTAGGTTGTGGCCTACTACGTTTGCGCACAGGTGGATTGTGGAGTAGACTTTATCATGTCTAGATTCATTGAAGAACATGTCTAATGGCTTTCTCCTCTTTCTTTGTAACCTCTTGGTAACTCCCTTCATTATGTGGTTGTTTATGGACTATGGTGATCAATCTTCATCTTTATTCAGATTAATTCACTTGTTGGAGAGGTTATACTTGCCTTTTTATCTTCCTTACATAGTTTATATATTGCTTGGAATCCTTCTAAAAATACTACAACACACATTATACATATATATCAGAAAGAGCTAAACACATTCTTCTTCTTCGGGCATAAGTTTATATGGCTCCACCTCTCACTCAAAAGTGTCTTTGAGTGAGAGTGGTATGTAACCTTAGGGAACGTACAGGTGATACAATGTGCACCCCAGTTGCGTCGATGAAAATTTTACATCGAGATTTATACATAGTTCCATGAATGCAATGGTATGGTTAGGAAAAACCTTAGAAAGATGGGAAACAACATTTCATACATTGTCTACGTATAACTTGGACTTCTGTCTTTAGCTCTTTGCCTGTTGCTTGTAAAAAATAAAAATAAAATAAAATAAATAAATAAAACAACTTGGACTTCTGTCTTTCTTTCTTGACGGAAAAATTGAATATCAATAAGCTAGAAATAAAACTCAGGGGAATAATCGAATAATATTAATGAATTCCAATTGGTTGACTAGAGATTTTTTATCATGTATTTTTAATTCATTCATTGTGCTTTTCCATAATCTTAGACTTGGAGGAATTAATTTATTAATGGGAAGGTCTTCATGTTAAAGCAAAGAAGGAAAATAAATCACAATGCTAATAAATGCATGCACATATAACATATAGTAGCATGTGCATACCCTAGTTGATTTTAAGAAATGACAAACAACAGGCAAAGTGCTGAAGTTTTGGAATTTTTTTTATGGAAACATGAATTAATGTATTGATTATAGGTGATCCTTATAATATACAGTGCGTAATAAGCTAACAAACAAACAAATTCAGATATAAAAATTTTGTTCTCCGTATACTAATATAATCTCTAAAATTTCGCTCTGCCTCTTGCATGTATAGGAAATGCACAATAAACTACAATATAAGTTTTACTTGCAACACTTTCATTATACTACAATTTACTTCTCGTACGAGCTATACTTTTGGAATGAAATACCAATTTACTCTTGCAAGACTTAGGCTTTATATATAGAAGTTAATTATATGGATATCATAATTTTCATCAGGCTTATACCATGGGTTATATGCAGTAATATAAAAAATCTATAAACTAATGTGATATTAAACTATTGATAATCAATATTTATATCTATTAAAAAACATTTTGTGTTAAAAAAATCTCTTTAACTGGTTGTGAAGCTAATAATAATTATTAAGAAGAAAAAATTCAATACAAAATTCGAAAATGCTCAATACCTTAAACTATACTGTAAACAAGCTTCCTTTTTGAATTGAGAGATCCAAGAAAAATGAAAACAAATTAAAGGTGGATAATATAAAACCTTATATTATACGATGATTACACGATTATCGCTACATATAATTTTACACTCGTTGAATTTGACGGTATAACACTAAGCTAGTACTTAGAATGAAGTAGCAATTTCACATGGTCGTACATTACATTTGAAATGGCACAGGATCCTATAATCGGAATTAATGATGGTTTAAAGTATGATATATGGTGGAGTAATTTGGAAGAGAAGTTGTATGAATTTTAGGGTAAAATATGTTATATGTTGTACATCTTGAGTACACATGCACTTGTATGCTGCATGCATATCATTCTATGCGCAAGCTCGTATGGGTTAAGTTATCAATCATTAATTTGGCATGAGCGATGATGACTCGTGCATACCTCGGCAATTTGTAAGGACTTTTATCATACTCAGCCTAGTTCGGCAAAAATAGTTATTAATCGTGGGAGTAATTGTAACATTTATTTGGTAAAATAATTGATAGAGATTGTTATCAAAATAGTTGTTACATGACGTAATTGTTATACGTACGTATGATATTATTATACGTACATAGATTTACTATATTTAACTAATTGTTAGCTCAATTGATAATATAAGCAGGAGTCATATAGAGATGGTAAAAAGATTCAAGATATGGACCTACAAAGAAGGGGAGCCACCCTTGGTGCACCTAGGACCAATGAGCTATATCTACGGCATAGAAGGGCATTTCATTCAAGAAATGGAAGATGGAATGAGCTTAATCAACAAGTTTATGGCTAGTAACCCTAACGAGGCGCATGTCTTCTTTCTCCCCTTTAGTATAGTTAACATAAGGACAGCATTTTACAAGCCCCACGACTTCGATCGTGGACCGCTCAATAGAGTGACATTGGACTATGTTAATGTGGTTGCCGAGAAGTATTCTTATTGGAATAGAAGTCATGGAGCAGATCATTTCATGCTCTCGTGCCATGACTGGGTGAGTCGTCGTAACTTAATACTCACTTTGTTCAGAATTAACTATCACGATAAATAGTGTAATTTAATCCAGCTACCTTATGAATTTATATATACACGTGACAAAATCATATAAATTCAAACAAAAGTGATATTATCTTGAGGTTTGTTTTTCATATAATCTCCTAGCTAAAGTAATTATGTTTGTATATATTTCAGGCACCGGATATTTCATTTGGCAACCCAAAATTATTGCAAAATCTTATAAGAGCACTTTGTAATGCTAATACATCAGAGGGATTCCAACCCGTGAGAGACGTACCAATCCCCGAGATAAATGTTCCGGCTAGGCAATTAAACCAACCAAGCTTGGGTTTGCACACAAGTAAGCGTCGAATCTTTGCATTTTTCGCGGGTGCTAATCATGGCCATGTTAGAAAATTCTTATTCGAGCAATGGGAGAAAGACGACGAAATCCAACTCCATGAACACCTTCCTAAGCATCTAAATTACTTCCAAATGTTAGGAAAAAGCAAGTTTTGCTTATGCCCTAGTGGTTACGAAGTAGCAAGTTCACGTATAGTTGAAGCTATACGTACAGATTGCGTACCCGTAGTCATTAAGGATAATTATTCCTTCCCTTTCAGTGATGTTCTTGATTGGAGTCGATTTTCGATTCATGTTCCGGTGTCGAAAATCCCTGAGATTAAGACGATGTTAAAAGGAATTTCTCCAAAAGAGTATGAGAAATTAGTACAAGGAGTTAAGAGTGTAAAGTGGCACTTTACTATAAATAGACCTGCTAAACCATTTGATTTAATTCATATGGTGTTGCATTCTGTATGGTTACGAAGGCTTAATATAAGATTGCCTAATTGATTTTATTGTCGAAAACCTCACATACATATAATATGGTAGAAATATAATACGGACTACACTTTTTTCATGCATGATTGAACATTTGCACATATTATTGCTTACACAAGTTTGCAATTGACATTAGTACAATCTACTTGACTCGTATTTGTTATTTTTGAAATAATGGTCGTCTCTCTTATATAATTATCACATGCAGAGTATTCATAAAATTTAGAATTAGTTTTCAACCAACGCAAATTCTTTTGGTGCATTTTGTCTTTAGTTCTTTACTCATGCACATCAATATTGTGATGAGAAAGTTCTTAATTAGGAAATCATTTATCATAAAACTATGTCCCTACCAAGTACGTTTAACTATGAAATGTCTTAGCATGTACTCGTATGTGATATAATGATCATTGTCCTGTTTATCATTAGTGTAGGTTTAGCTATTGATACAAGCTACAATTATACACATGTGGGCAATAATACATCTACTAATCACCCAAGACACTAATTAAGCCCAAATATATACTTATACTAAATCCTAATTACATCATAATAATAATATAATCCCCAAATAATAAATGCATGATTTCTAAATGAAAGATGTATAGAGAATTGGAGAAGAATTGTTGTATTTTCATTAAAGACAAACCAAACTTATATACAATAACAACCCTAAGTAATACGGTTACAATAAAAGCAATAGAAGATACACAGGATACAGCCTAACATTAAAGAGAGAATTAAGGGAAGATAATTGAGAATATCATTTACATGTAAATTACTAGAATCAAGGGGAGTATTAAGGGGAATATTGAGTATAATGTGCAAGTATCATCAGTGATTAAATCAAGGATCAAATCAAAGATTGACCTTGACTTGATTATTCCTTATTAAGATGCATCTTGTTGCTACCTCATCTTTCTTTCACTCACTCAGTCACTATACCAACAAAGGTTCAAATGTTGTTTTCAGTGAAGTACCAAATTCCAAAGAATTATAATAATAATGTTGCAATAAGTGCATAATTTAAGAAACAATATGGTTTCACAATAATGTTGCAATAAGTGCATAATTTAAGAAACAATATGGTTTCACGTCACACTAATTAGCTTCTTAAGAAAGAAGTCATAGGTGTAGCTTTCCATTTGTTTGCTCCAATAATCAGACACGCATGATTATAAATTTATAATGGTCATTTCTTTGATGACTAAGGATTTTGACCATAAATTATTTAATTTGATTATTTTTGAAAACTTATATCAAAATCTATTTATCTATATAGGTTGTATCTTATTAAATACTTAATCAAAGTATGAATGATAAACTTTCCACTTAATCTACACAATTCAACCACTAGATTAGTGATAGTTGGAAGATGTTAGAAGTGGACATAATGGTTGACAAATAATGGTGAAGTGAATGAAGTGCATTCATCTAATTATGATATAAATATTGTTCATTGACCTAGAATATTTGTGATGTTATTAATTTTAAGAGTATTATATATGTGTAATTGCAAAAAAAAAAAAAAAAGTTTGTCATCATATATATTTCAATAACATTTTTATTTTTGAAAAGTGTTGCGGTTAAATCGAAGGAAAAGGCCATGATCCACATCAACATCTTAATCCTTCACACAATCACACCTAGTATTTTCAACTTTGTATCCCTTACTTCTATACAACTCAATAGTTATTACAAAGTACTTGTATTATTTACCCTCATGCAAATCTCATTATTATTATTTGTATTAGTATCTCAGCTTTTCAATCTATGAATTTCTCAACCAGTTCAACCGACCCAAGGCTTGTACTTGTACTTGACTTGTTGACTAAATAAAATATAAACAACTATAAAATGTAATATAATCATAATTAAACTTATAATGGAGCACTTTGAAGCAATATAATCATGACGTATTAAACTTGTTTCAAGCTCATGCTTAGACTAACACTTGGTGAAGTGGCGTGTACTCCGGATGAGGGACCTGCTGACAAGTTGAATATTTGGGCCGGACTAATTGGTTAATTGATAATAAACGCCGGCCCAATGATTGCGCAACCAATTACAAAGGTCAATGCCAAACTAGAAGAGGACCCCACAAAACTATAGTATAAAATCAATTAAATGACCTTATAGTTTTATTAATTACATTTCATAATAAAAAAAATATTGTTGTAAAGTATTTATACACAACAAAAGAAATTATTCCTTGAGAACAGATTAGTGCATGGTTTGTGTGAGTCCATGGCTAACACAACCACAAAATTCTTACTACTAATTCCTACTTTTCTTCTAATAATCTTCTTCTACTCATCTAATTACTTCAACCAAAATCACTTCAACTCTAATCCAACGTCTAACAAGAAGCTTTCGAATCCGCCATCAAATCTACCCGTAAACATTAGTAATGAACCTAATGATCACGTTCCTCACAACATCTCATTTTCTACCGTACTAGAAGTAAGTTTCTACTATCGCTACATAGTACATACCTCTTCATTTTATTTTTTTTTGTGAAAATGACTAAGTTTGTGTATTTTTCAAATAAGGTTGCATACAACTGATCTTAAATGTATTATCTTTAATTTTTTATACATGTCGATGATTTGTTATTTATTTTAAACCCTTAAGAAAAAAAAAAAAAAAAGTTTGCCTTTTAATTTTTGAAATGAGGAATTGAACAGAAGAAGGAGAAGAAGAAGAAAAGTAGTTTGGAGAAGATTGAGGAAGGGTTGGCTCGGGCTCGGGCAGCAATCCGAGAAGCTGCCCGGAGTCGGAATTATACGTTAAAGGAAGAAGTAACAACTTTCATACCAAGAGGATCAGTTTACAGGAATCAACATGTTTTTCATCAGTTGAGTTTTACTTTTTCTCTATTGTTTTTCCTCATTTTACTCTTCTTTAATTACAAAAATCCAAAAGAAATAAATGTACAATTAATTTGTTGGCACTAGCTGTTTAATTTCTTAGTAAGTTATTATTAGCAACAATTTGCTCTTTGTGTAAACAATCTCTTTTACGTGCGTTTTAGAGCTCTTGTTTAAAGGTATGTGTTTAAATTGGCTTCTTGCATCATGTTGAATATAACTGTAATAATAATATTGTCAAAAAAAAAAAAAAAAAAAAAAAAAAAAAAGGATGATTAGTTTCAAGCTAGCTAAAAGCTTACTTAAAATGTGGGAAAAGGAGTACATCATCTATGATGTGACATTATTTGTTGTATACTATTTTTTTTTGGAGGGATATTTAATTTGTTATATACTTGTATAAGTATAAATGTATAATAGGGTCGAATTGTTTGTTATTAATTTATAGACTTCTAATGTTAAGTGTCAAGAATTCAAGATAAATTCTTTATTAGGATCGATAGGTATGATCATAAAAATATAATTTATAACTATTACTAAAATAACAACCGCTGACATCATCTTTTTTTCCAAATTGTACACGTGTCAGTTTCATCTTCAATTTTTTCCCGTCTAAACTTTTATTTTTTCTCTTCCAATTTATTTATTTATTTATTTTAAAAAGCTAAATATTGATTGCAAAGTACTATTATAGGGTACATTATCTTAATATACATATAGCTAATCTTAAGGAAAGCTAATATTAATCCTTTATATATGTGATTACTCCATCTAATCACAAACTCCCATTATTGTAGACATGAATTGTCTTTTGTTTATACAAGTTTTATTTTAATTTTTGTAGTTTGGTTTATGTTTTGAGTGATAATATGACTTGAAAATATACACAATTATAAATCCTTTTTATTATATTCGTGCATCGCACGGGAGCTAATCTATAACATAATTAATATACTACTTACGTTACTTTTTAGTTATAACAAAGGAATTTTTTAAATCTCACAAAAATACCCTTTTATTGCAACTAAAAAGTAACGGATGTAGCTAGTAGATAATATTTTCCTCAAAAGTAATTAATATATACGTAGTATTAAATCTTATAAGTAATTAATATGGCAGTACAAGATAATACAAGATTGTACAATGTTACTTTCGGACCAAAAGAGGTACATTATTCTAAAAGTGAAAAACTAAGTACAAGATTAAGTAAATGTTACTCCTAGATTATAAAAAGAGCTAAAACCGTAGACTATTCAACTTAGCTCGCCGTGCAAGAGATAAGATGATATTAGCTAGATTTACTGGAACCATATTTTCCCAATAAGTTTTTGTTTCAAGTTGAGTACAAATTTACAATTTTACTTTGAATCCAAAATCATCAAGAGTAAGCTCCATATATATCTTAGCCTTTTCATATATAAGAAGACCATTAGTTACTAACTAAGCCAAATATCGAGCTTTTTCCTAGACAATAAAGAAGAAAATATAAATAAATAATATATAAAAATTATTGCATGATTGTTAACTACTACTACCATTATTGATTTGTTTATGATGAATTACACGGTACCTTAATTAAGATTGAGTTAATTAAATATGTTTAATCGAGACAGATTCTTATATATCTGCAAACTACTAGCTAACATGTTCTATTGGTTTGAATTATTTACGTGTTAGACAAGTGATAGATCATTTTACCAAACTTATGAGTAATAACTTACTAGTGATAGTGATTAGTGAAGTAGTTTATGTATTAATAAATCTATATGTAGTCTATATTAGACTTTATATTCCTTATTCTAGTATTGTTTAATCTTAATTTGAGGGTGTTCAGGAGTATGACGATAGTAATTAGTATAGTGATTATATATATAAGACAATAAGTCAAGCCGTGAGAATAGTTTATTGATTTCAAAAGAGTTTACTAGTATTATACTTTGTATATTTGTATACTTGTATTTCTTGCCAAATTGAACACGACTTAGGGGTTAAGGCTAAATGTTGGTTGATTGACAAGCTAAAGTAGTATCATCTAATTAAAAGTAATTCCTAAAACTACTAACTAAAATAAATAGGGAAGTAGCTTAGGGTCGAATACACAGGAAAACAGCGCTCTTCTATTCCTAATTAATTAAAATAATC